CAGGCATGGACATCGGCGTGCACGGGCAAACAGGCCAAACAAAAAAAGGGAAAGAAGCGGGCGCGATCCTTGTGAGGAGAGTGCCGACATGGGCGTCGACATTCATGCACGTTGACTGTTTCGCACGCGGACTCATTCATAATCAGAACCACTCGCACTCATGTTCGCCCTTTCTCAGTCTCTCGCACTCAGATCGACCGTCTTTGTTCGTATTGCGTACCCCGCCACGCATGTCGGCACGCCCCTCATATGGTTCGTGGCCCCATTTGGAGTGCGGGCGAATATGATATTCACAATTGCGGTATTCACAACTGCGTATGGTTGGGTCCTTCGCCCGGTTTTTTTTTTGTAAGCCGTCCTGTGGTGTTGGGTCCTCGTTTTGAAGGAACTGTCCCCGTGTCTCCTCTTCCCGTGCTCCCCGCAGTGGGGGGCACCACATGCGTCTGCCATCCCCAGTACAGCGTTTCGTGGCACCATCGGGAATTCCACGTATGGCCCCGGTGGGCGGTACCACATGCGTCTGCCACACCCAGTACAGCGTTTCGTGGCCCCATAAGGAATTCCACCGGAGGGTTCAGTGGGGGGTACCGCATGCGTTCCCTCCCACCCAGTACAGCGTTTCGTGGCCCCATATGGAACTCCACCGTAGGCCCCAGTGGGGGTACCGCATGCGTCCGCCACACCCAGTACAGCGCTTCGTGGCCCCATCGGGAGCTCCACCGAAAGCTTCACTGGGGGGTACCAGGTGCGTCCGTCACACCAAGTACAGCGTTTAGTGGCCCCCACCCACTGCATCGTTTCGTGGCGCCACAAGGAGCTTCATCGAAGAAAGTATTTATAATTGCGGTGCCCACAGTTGCATATGGTTGGGTCTTTCGCCAGGATGCTTCCCAACTGCCTGTGGTGTTGGGTCCTCGTTTTGAAAAGACGGTCCCCGCGTCTCCTCCTCCTCCCTCCTCCTCCCTTTCCTCCTTCCTCCATGCGTTTCACCCACCCAGTGCAGCGCTTCGTGGTCCCAGAGGGAACTCCACCGAAGGCCCCTGTGGGGGGTACCACATGCGTCCGCCACACCCAATACAGCGTTTCGTGGCCCCCTGAGGAGTTCAACCGAATGCCTCAGTGGGGGGTACCACATGCGTCCGCCACACCCAGTACAACGTTTCGTGGCCCCTTAGGGAACTCCACCGCAGGGCTCAGTGGGGGGTACCACCTGCGCCCGCCACACCCTGTACAGCGTTTCGTGGCCCCATACAGGCCCCAGTGGGGGGTACCCCATGCGTCCGCCACACCCAGTACAACGTTTCGTGGCCCCATAGGGAACTCCACCGATGGCCCCAGTGGGGATGGCCACATGCGTCCCCACACCCAGTACAGCGTTTCGTGGGCCCCTAGGGACCTTCACCTAGGGGCCCAGTGGCCACATGCGTCTAGGGAGCTCCACCGAAGCCCCCAGTGGGACCGCCCACATGCGTCCCACACACCCAATTTGGCAGTTTCACCCACCCAGTGCAGCGCTTCGTGGCCCCATAGGGAGCTCCATCGAAGGCCCCAGTGGGACCGTCTGCGTGCGTCCCACACTCCTAATTTGGCGCTTTACAAGCCCAGTATAGCGTTTCGTGGCTCCATGAGGAGCTCCACTGAAGCCCTCAATGGGGCCGTCCGCATGCGTCCCGGAAGCCCACTTTGTTATTTTCACCCACCCATTGCAGCATCTCGCGGCCCCATAGGGATCTCCACCGAAACCCCCAGTGGGACCGTCCGCGTGCGCCCTGGAAGCCCAAGTTGGCATTTTCACCCACCCGGTACAGCGTTTCGTGTCCCCATAGGGAGCTCCACCGACGGCCCCAGTGCGACTGCCCGCATGCGTTCCCCCCCACCCAGTGCAGCGCTTCGTGGCCCCATAGGGAGCTCCACCGAATAAGATATTCGCAATTGCGGTGCCCAGGTCCTTCGCCAGGATTTTTTCCCAACCATTCTGTGGTGTTGGGTCTTCGTTTTGAAAAGACCGTCCCCGCGTCCCTCCTCCTCCTCTCCTCCTCCTCCCCCTCTCTCCTCCCCCTCCTCCCTCCCCCATGCGTTGCACCCACCCAGTACAGCGTTTCGTGGCCCCATAAAGGGGGCTCCACCGAAGGTCCCAGTGGCACCGCCCGCATGCGTCCGCCGCCACCCAGCACAGCCCTTGCTCCCTGCGTTTCACCCACCCAGTATAGCGTTTCGTGGCCCCATTCGTGGGAGCTCCACCGAAGGTCCCAGTGGCACCGCCCGCATGCGTTCGCCACCACCCAGCACCGCCTTTGTTCCCTGCGTTTCACCCACCCAGTACAGCGTTTCGTTGCCCCATAGGGAGCTCCACCGAAGGTCCCAGGGGCACCGCCCGCATGCGTCCGCCACCACCTAGCACAGCCCTTGCTCCCTGCGTTTCGCTCACCTAGTACAGCGTTTCGTGGCCCCATTAAAGGGGGCTCCACCGAAGGTCCCAGTGGCACCGCCCGCATGCGTCCGCCACCACCCAGCACAGCCCTTGCTCCCTGCGTTTCACTCACCTAGTACAGCGTTTCGTGGCCCCATTCGGGGGGGCTCCACCGAAGGTCCCGATGGCACCGCCCGCATGCGTCCGCAACCACCCAGCACAGCCCTTCGCTCCCTGCGTTTCACCCACCCGGTACAGCGTTTCGTGGCCCCATAGGGGGCTCCACCGAAGGTTCCAGTGGCACCGCCTGCATGCGTCCGCCACCACCCAGCACAGCCCTTGTTCCCTGCGTTTCACCAACCCAGTACAACGTTTCGTGGCCCCATAAAGGGGGCTCCACCGAAGGTCCCAGTGGCACCGCCCGAATGCGTCCGCCACCACCCAGCATAATTGCGGTATTCACAACTGCATATTGTTGGGTCCTTCGCCAGGCTAATTTTTCCCAGCCATCCTGTGGTGTTGGGTCCTCGTGTTGAAGAAACTGTCCCCGCGTCTCCTCCCCCGTCCCCCCCCTGGTTGGTGTGGCCTCATGCGTCCGCCACACCCAGTACAGCGTTTCGTGGCCCCATAGGGAGTTCCACCGAGGGCCCCACTGGGGTTGCCACATGCGTCCGCCACACCCAATACAACGTTTCGTGGCCCCGTGGGGAACTCCACCGAAGGCCCCAGTGAGGATGGCCACATGCGTCCGCCACACCCAGTACAGCGTTTCGTGGCCCCATGGGGAGCCCCACCGAAGGCCCTGGTGGGGGTGGCCACATGCGTCCGCCACACCCACTACAACGTTTCGTGGCCCCTGTAGGGAGCTCCACCGAAGGCCCCAGTGGAGGTGGCCACATGCGTCCGCCACACCCAGTACGGCGTTTCGTGGCCCCATGGCAGTACAGCGTTTCGTGGCCCTATAGGGAGCCCCACCCGAGGCCCCAGTGGGGGTGGCCACATGTGCCGCCACACCCAGTACAGCGTTTCGTGGCCCCATGTGGAACTCCACCGAAGGCCGTGGGGGGGTTGACCACATGCGTCCGTCACGCCCACTACAGCGTTTCGTGGCCCCATAGGGAGCTCCACTGGAGGCCCCAATAGTGGTGGCCACGTGCGTCCGCCACACCCAGTACAGCGTTTCGTGGCCAGTGGGGACCGTCCGCATGCGTCCCGCACACCCAATTTGGCATTTTCACCCGCCCAGTACAGAGTTTGGTGGCCCCATAGGGAGCCCCACCGAAACCCCCAGTGGGACCGCCCACATTCGTCCCACTCACCCAATCTGGCAGTTTCACCCACCCAGGACAGCGTTTCGTGGCCCCAGAGGAAGCTCCACCGAACTGCCCAGTGGGACCGTCCGCTTGCGTCCCGCACGCCCAGCTTGGCATTTTCACTCACCCAGTACAGCTTTTCGTGCCCCATTAAGAGCTCCACCGAAGCTCCCAGTGGGACCGTCCGCATGCGTCCCGGAAACCCAATTTGGCATTTTCGCCCACCCAGTGCAGCATTTCGTGGCCCCATAGGGAGCCCATTTCGCGGCATCTTGCGTTATCTTGAGCCATCTTGGACGCCATCGTGGGCTCCCTGAGGCCCTCTTGGAGCCGTCTTGGAGCGAACAAATGCTCCCTGACACCTCGCGGCCCCCCCCGTCCAAGTTCAGGGGGGGGTAGGGGGAGGGGTCAAGACGCCCTCCCCGCCCGCAAGCCGTCTCGCTCACTCCCACCCGCCCCGCCCTCCCAACACATACGTAGTACCCGAGCCTGACACGATCCGCAGCATATGCAGCAATCGTCTTGGATGGGCAGCTAGTGGGGGCGAATCCGCCTCCGCTGCCGCCACCGCCGCCGCTGCCGCGCCGCCGCCGCTGTCCGCCGCCGCTGTCCGCCGCCGCCGCCGCCACCGCGCCGCTCGCCGCCGCCGCCGCCGCCTCCCCGCTGCCAAATCGCCGCCGCCGCAGCCGCTGCCGCCGCAGTCGCTGCCGCCACCGCTGCCGCCGCCGCCGCCGCCGCCGCCGCCGCCCCCGCCGCCGCCGCCGCCGCCGCCCTCGCCGCCGCCACCGCCGCAGCCGCCGCAGCCGCTGTCCCCGCTGCAGCCGCCGCAGCCGTCGCAGCCGCCGCCGCCGCCGCCGCCAAGTGTACTCTGTGTTGGTTTTTGACAGGCATGGTGGGGAAGGCCGCATCGGGTTCGCTGCGCATGCTCCGAAATTGGAGACAGAGTGTGTGCTTACATGTTTTTTTTACCAGGGATGGTGGGGGCAGAGTGTGTTTGTATTGTTTTTTTACATGGGATGGTGGGGGGGGGCCCTCATGGACCTGGGTTGGCTCCCAGTCGCGTGGGGAGGAGGGAGGTGGACGAGGAAACGCTCTAGACCACCTATGCCCAGAGGGCTGGTGGGACTTATCGTGGTACCATCCACGAAAGATGCGAACAGTAATCTAAACTATATGTTCTTGTCCGTGCTCCCTGTTTGTGCTCCTGCTCCTGCTGATCCTGCTCCCGCTCCGGTCTCTGGCCACCTGCGCTCTCCTCCCCCCGTGCTTCTGACAAGGTGGCCTCCCTGCACCACCAGAGGATCAAGCCGGTCAGGCTCCGCTGGACGCAGGCGGGCACCTTGCACACGCTTGGCACGACGGTTGACGAGCGTGCTGAAACGGGAGGGCGAGGAGCAGGAGGAGGAGGAGGAGCAAAGGGAGACTGAGGAGGTCGCAGGCGGAAGAGGTGGGAGGAGTGAAGAGGCCGCGAAGGGGTAGGAGGAGGCGTCCTTTCGTAGGGGGCTTTGCTCTCGGGAGAGGGGCTTCTGCGGGGTCGCAGGTCTCGGTTCGTCTTCCTCGTTCGTTCCTCGTGCGTTTTGCTGGAATCGTCTCGCGCGCAGGCGCCCTGCTCCTAGGGTCGGGGTCTAGCCGTCCCCTCGCTGCCGCCGGCTGCCCGTCGATGCCCCTGGTCGACGGGCTCTTCTTCTGTCAGCGGTCCTGGCTGTCCCATTCTCTGTTGCCAGCTACTCGTCGACGCACCTTGTCGGCGTTCATTTCTCCTGTCGGCTGTTCGGCTGCTTCACTGCCTACATCCAGCTATTCGCTTCCATGCATCTGGCCAGCGGTCCTAGCTGCAACATGTCTCACCCAACTTCCCGAGCTCCGATCGGGCGTGTCCGTGGCACCTTCGCGGCAGCTCGTGCCGTGCCACTCGCGTCCTGGCCCTTCGCCGCTCCCTTGGCGAAGTGTCCCGTTGGTTCGAGGCGGCTGATCAGCGGTCCTGGCTCACCACGTCTCGCTCCGTCCAATATCTCTTCGTGCGAGTCCGCGCAACGGGGTCGGCGGTCCTGAGCACTCCATTCGTGCCCTAGCACGTCCTCCTTCTGCAGAATTTTCTATCATTTCAGATTTCTGCTTCCTTCTTGATCTCCTTCACTGCCCCCACTGGGGCATCAGTCAGGGGCACAGCAGGCAGTATATACCCAGGAGTGGCTGCTTCCGCCAGACTCCGGCAGAGACTGCGAGCGACAATCGGCTCCCTCCAAGCTGCCTCCTCGCCCTCCCTCTACCCACACGCACATATTACTTTGCCCCTTCCCGCTCCCCCTCCCATTCAGAAGAGGGGAGGAAGATGAAGGCGTGGCGTCTTGAGCCGTGGCGACGAAAGAGCTATATGTCACACGCTCCGGAGAGGCCGTCACGCTTGTCGGAAGAGAGGCTGGCTGTGCATAGCTACGGAAGACGGTGCTCCGCGGACGAAGCTGGCGCGTGGGCTCTCGACCCCGTCCGTGTTGGCGCGATGTCTCCCGGCTCTCGACCGCTGGCGGGTGTGGACTGAGGACTGGTGCTGGCGCTCGTCGATGCTCTCGGCGTATTCCCCGCTGGCCTCTCTGAGCTTTCGACCTCGTCCCAGGAGCAGAGGAGCCTTCCAACCCTTCCCTCCCCCTCTCTCTCTCACTCTCTCCCTCTCCCTCTCTTTCAGTGTAATATACAGTCTTCAGTTCGACCCACTCCCATAGACTTCCCCCGCATGCTTTTCCGCGGCCCTGGCTCAAGCAAAGCATTTCCGACGATGGTCGCTCTCTTAGCTGAGGTCCCGGATGGAAATTACAATCTCCAGGTATTGGAGGGCGTCCTTGGCCTCCATTTGCGCTTCGATTTTCTGTCCGCCAATGGCTCGGACCTCGCCCTGCCGCATTCCTGGCGGCATTGGCACTCGGGGCGTCGCCTGTGGCCCCGAAGCAGGCGCGCAACCATCCGTCCGTCACTTCCCATCTCGCGTGGGCCGAACGCGAATGGGACCGCCTTGCTGACACCGGGAAGGTTGCCTTCTTTCCAGTTGACGCCCCTCCGCCCACACACCTCAACGTCAACCCGTGCGGCTTAATCCTGAAGCCGCGGCCTGGGGCAGACCCCAAAGCCGACGACTCGGAGCGTTTCAGAGCGCGTTTAATCGTCGATTTGTGGCGAGGGGGGGTCGATGAATGCATGCCGACTGCCGACGTCGCATGCGGCGCGCTGGACCAGGCCGTGGCCCGCATGGCCGCGGATTCCTGTTCGTTCGTTTGCGACCAGCGCGTTTTTTTTTTTTGGGGGGGGGAATGGTAAATAATTGGTTTGTGTCCGACGCCGGTTCGCATGCCTTGGGCTTTTCCCTTGCAGACGCCAGTTCAGGAAATACAGCTATATACCATTCGGTCTCAAACCTGCGCCTGGTATCCACGATGCCAGTGTGAAGGAGATTTTGAGAATCCTCTGCCTGCGTTCCGGAGCAGATCTGTTAGACTTCGTTGACGATGTTTTAGGCGCGGGACCTCCCATAAATGCCAAACCCGGCGGCGTCCGAACACCAACGCGCCGACAAATTTGGATCGGCTGGGCGTTGTCGAGTGGATCACCACCGTGCCGCCTGAAAAGACTGACCGCTGTCGCGAGTTGTGCGCTGCCGTTCTCGAGGCAGAGCAACACCGCGCGCTCCGCAGCAAACAAGTAGCGTCTTGCAGTAGGTTTGGCCTCGCACATCGCGGAGCTCTTTCCGCAGCTGTGTCGCTGTCTACACCCTCTCTGGGCTGATTTCAACGCGTCAGGGGTGTATTCGGCGCGGCGTTCCAGCCCCCCGGCGGACCCCCTGGTGGCCCTCTCGGATGCCAGTCGCGCGGCCCTGGCACACATCTGCTCAGCCCTGGGTGCGCACCCAGTGCGTTCCTTGCGCTGCGGCGGCGGTCCTCTCGACATGTGGAGGCATAAATCCCCCGAGTTCGCTGACTGGACGAGCCTTGCTCGCAAAGGCGCAATCCGGGTCGTGGAGTGCGACGCGTCCAATATGCATGGGTGGTCATAGCATCCGCGTTGGGACAGCGGCGATGTCGCCGGCGCATGGCCGGAGAGTTCTGCAGCCCGGGAGGCGCAGCCCAACTCTTGGGAAATCAATTGAGAAGAGTTGTGGGTTGCAATCCAGTGCTTTCTCAGGGAGTCCTCCTGCCTGAGGGGCTGGCGAGTTATGTTCAGGCTCGACAATTCCGCGGCAGTGCATTGCGCGCAACGGGCGGATGCCCTCCCTCGAGCCCCCGGCGCGTCGTTTCGAATGTGCCGAGCGAGCGGCCCCATGCTGGGCACTGGCCTTGCACATTCCTGGCAATAGCAACGTCATTGCAGACGCGAGTTCCCGGTCCTTGGCCTTCGCGCGTTCTTGGCGCGAGGATCGGTGCAGGGGCGCGGCACTTCGCAATGCCTTGTTTCAAGCGGTCGAATCGGGATGCGGCGTGCATTTCGAGCGGGAGATGTTCGCAGATAGACTCCGCCTGGCGGCTCTCGCCCGCGAGTGGCGATGTCCAGAGCATTCCGCTTTCGAGGCCAAGCTGCGCGGTCACGCGGCGTGGGCGCACCCGCCACTCGCACTTTTGAAGGAGACGTTACATTTTTTGACATCCGCCGTGGCTGATGATGCAGACCTGCGCGTTGTCATCCTGTGCGCCGACGACTCAGGGGCCCCGTGGTTCCGTCCGTCGTTGCTCTCCAAGTGGCACAGGGCCAGGTCGTGGCCCGCCGGATCTGATCTTTTCAGGTGGCCGTCCGATCTGGCGTACGTCGAGAGGTCCAGCAGCGGATCTTCCATGCGTCGCATTTCAAGGTTGGCTTCCGTATCGCCTGAATCGCAAGCGCTGACAGAGCTGCCCTTCGGCACCTACAAAAGACACACCGCATTACCTTCACATCCTTCTCATTTTCCCCCGCCCTCTTCTCCTGCCCCGCCGCCCCTGCCCATCATTGCGGTGCTTTGCGGGCGTTTTCTTGTTGGTCCACGGCCAGGGCAGTCCTGTTCTTCAAATTCTTGATTTTTCAGCGGCCCCCCACCTGCCCCCCGAACTGTCCGTGCCTTGCGGGTGCCCCGAGAGGTCTTCATTTATCGCATGTCGGTTCAGCTGGCCCATCGGCTGATCTGCCGATCGGCCGCCGCCCCGCTGGGGGGGTGGCAGCCGAGGGCCGCGTCGAGGCCCTCATCGCTGGGGCGATTGCGGCCGCCTGCGCCCCGCGGGGCCTCATCCGCGCAGCGGTGCTCACCGAGATTGCCTAGGATGTCGCCGTCGGCGTAACCGTCGGCACCGCCGCCGATCGCGCCGTGGGAGAGGGCTTTTCGAGGGCGGCCAGGGTCCCCGACCTCCAGGCGCAGGCAGATGCGTAGTTTTCGTTCCGCAAGGTGTTGCCCGAGCTCAGCCTTGACGAGATCGGGCGGACTTTGTTTTCGATCGTGGTTGACGCCGACCAGGTAGAGGAGTCTATCGCGGAGTCCCTCGCTAACCCAAAAGATCCCGTGGCCATCATTTACGCCTTGCACGCCGCCCGCCCACCTAATTCGGAGCTCTCCGTGTTTGAAAAACAAGCTTTGCGTCGCGCGGCCCCGGCCGCGTGGAAGCAGCTGTGCTTCCCCGAACAGGGCGGGGCGCCCGACCGGCTGCAGGTGTACTTGTGCGAGCGCGCTGAGAGCAGCGACCAAGCTGTTCGCGCCTTGGCCCCGGCCTCTTTGGCGCTGCACCATTGAATCGAGAAGTGCGCGACGCTTCTAGCCAGCAAGAAAAAACGGCACCGGCGAAGCGCGCTGCCCAGAGGATGGCTTTGATGCCGTGCGTTTACGAAGGCGTCAAGAGTTATGAGTGGCGACGCATGAAACCATCTGCGGCGGTAGCTCTCGACAGCGAGCTTCTGCTCCTCGATTTTGGAATCGACCTCGTCCTAGGGTCCGTGGCCTTGGGCGAAAGCGGCGGCCGCCCCCCTGGGCGGCGCTGGAGCTGGCACCTCTGGACAAGTGTCTGGGGGCCCCTTGACGCAGGCCCAGGGGCAGGGCAGGTCCCGCCGCGCCTCGGGCTTCGTCGAGCGGGGGAGGTCGCCGTCGCCAGCCGCTGCGGTTGCTTCCAACAGAGCTGCCCAGAATAATGGAGCGGGCGTTTTGTTTCTTGAGTTGGCATTGTTGCCGCCAGTGACCCCGGCGCCCCTAGGATCGAGGCTTGGCCCGCGGAGACAAGCAAAGGCAACCCGGGGGCAATCGAGGCTCGTGTCCGAGGTGTGCCGCAATTTCTCGAACCGTGGGGCGGTGAAGCATAACTTTTCGGACTGCGCCCGCGGCCGCTGCCCC